AATCATCCGAATTGGGAATAGTGGCTCGAATTTGGAGAAACATTCATTCCGACAACGTCTCGAAACTCGTCCATATTTCCATAATTGCACAAAATCGAGCAGGATTCAGCGTTTTCGTGTTCCGAGATATACTGAAATTCAGAATTATGTGTTAAACCAAAAATAGAGCTATACATTTCTAATGCTTGTCAATACTCCGTGATCAATAAAACGTTTACGACGGAATCCAGATGCCACAATAAATTTACCAGGTTTAACGAAACCTTCATTAAACTGGAACCGCTTGAAATGAGTGGCATAATCCATCACAAACTCTGTGTATCCACATCTCAACTCCAGCTCTTTCGCTTGTTTCCATTGCTCGAGACGTGCGACTTGCTGCATTGCATTGCTACCGTAATCAAATCCTGGGCCAGGGTCATCAGATAGAATTGTGATCTTCTCGAGTACTCCTGGCTTCAAATACGGAAGAATCGACATGGCGTTACAGCGATTAGGAATACGAATTCGGCATGCTTTAAAAGACAACTGGTAATCGATTGATTCGAGTATTGTCTGCATCTATTTCAATTTATCGAAAAACTTCCAAATTTTATCATCATTGAAGTTGAAACTTTTTTCTTCACAGTCGAAATCGTCGAAGTTGAATGAGAACAATTCCAATTGCAATTTCGGATTTCTCAGCATCGAAGTCAAATCATTGAATGCATTTTGTTCAAAATCATCACTTTCAAGAGTTTTATCGAGATGTTGGTTCTTATAATCAACATAAATATCATCTTCATCCCAGGTAGGCCAAACGTATCCGACACATTAAAGTGGTTTGAATCACGAATCAGCCAAAAATTGAAAAATTTTTGAAAATTTTGTGTTTTTTTCATAATTTTGGGGTAAATTTTTGAAATTTTTTCCCGGAGCGGGCCGGCCCGTGATTTCACAAGTATGCTTTTTCCATGTGAAGTCCTATTCTCTGTTGCTATCAGTTTCCTATACCGTTTCATGAAATTTAAAAACAAATAGTGTTTATTCAAAGTTATCACAAAAAAGTTGAAGACTAGTTACAGAAAAAAGATGAATTGCGTAAAATTGTTCATTATTTTAGAAAGCAGTTCAGAGCGTAATCACAAAAAAGCAAAAATCGAAAAACAAACATTTTGAATTAAAAATAAAACACCCAGCCGAGAAAAATGACAAAAAAAGAGAGAAAGGGACAGGAAAACGACCGGTTCTAGACGAGAATCTGATGAGTGTTTTGGGGGGAAAGAAACAAGACTACAAATTGAAAGATGGTTGATGATGAAGAACAGGCAAGGTTGAAGCTCAGACAAAAAGAGAGTAATTATGGAGGGAAAATAATCAATCACAATCCATCATATCATCATCAAATTCATTTCGAGGTTGACGATAGGAAGTAAATGGATTTGAGGAAGATGATGAAGAACATGTTGAATGATTTGAGTGGAGTAAAGAGGGTGCATCATTGGAGATTCCAGGAGGTACTGTAAAAAGTTATGATTGATTTTGGGAGGCGTGGGGACTCTAATAGATAGGCACTCTGAATGTTGGTTGCTCACGTTTTCATATAACGAATTCGGTTGGATACTAAATTTTTCCAGATTTTCAGGCTACGCGACACTTTGCAACTAGACGTTCAGCAACCGATAAGTGTCGTCAAATATGGTCATCCACGTGTTTTTAGCTAACTCCCACCAGTTGGGAAACGTCAGGTTTCAAAACGTCTAGTTGCGAAGTGTCGCGGATCCGATGCTCAACGCATTTTTAAGTTTTGAAAGGGTGATTTGCATACTTGCAAAGGGCCGGGTTTTTTTTTTGAAACGCACGGTTCGGTCCGTCTTTTGGAGATTTGAACAAAAATTTCGGGGTGTCGTGGTTATTTCCGGATGCAATAAAAATATGTTTGCGAAAAATAAATAAAAATTCTCAGAAAACCAGGATCCCTGATAAAACGGGCCAAACGGGCCAAGCCGTGAATTTGCAATTATGGTGATTTATTGAATTTTGCCGAACATTCGCGACATTTCGAAACTGTGACTTTTCAAAACCTGACGTTTTGCGACTATACTTTTGATACTATCACAGCTATCTGATTCCGGTTTCAAAACGTTATAGTTGCAAAACGTCTGGTTTCCAAATGTCGTTTTCCGCAGTTCTAAAAATCTTAAAACTGACCAACAGCAGTTTCCTCTTCTTCCAGAACATAACCATTGTTATATTCATCACTTCGTGCAACCGATGAGTGAGAATCTGATGAGACTATCGAATCTGAGAATTTTCTGAATTTATGAAAACAAATAGAAAATCAATAAAAGCTCACTTCGAAATGCATCCTCCTCATTCACGAATCGATGTGGAGTGTGACGAGCTGATGGTGGAAGTGATACTGATAGGGATTGGCTGTAACTGATCATATTGAGAGAAAGTTTTTCGATTTTTTCAGAAGAAATGTGCCTACAGTAACCCTATCAAAACTTGAATCTTTCACTCACCCTTTATTATAATTTGTGAGGGAATTGGATCTTTTTCGTTTCGAATGTAGATTCGAATAGACTCTTGACTGCCTTCTGGATCCACTTGCCGAATGACGATGTGATGGAATTGGTTGTTGCCTGAACATGATTGCATCCAATGAAGAACTTGCACATAATGGAGGAGGTGGACGGGAGGAATCTGCCATAACTGTGGAGGATGTTTGAATTCCGACGATTTCACTTGAACAGGAACATGCATTCATTGCAGATGCTGTTATTTCATCTGGACGAGGAGCAGAGGAAGTGGATGTTTCGAGTTGGCACAGATCCAAAGCAGCAATTGTATCACGATGATGGAGGTCTTCAAGACGATTCTCGTCGGGTCGAAGGACTACATCTTCCACCGCACGCTGCAAAATTGGGGTTTTTTTGCATTTTTTGATTAGAAAAGTTCCTGTTTTGGGCATTTGCAATTCAAGAAGGAGTAATCCAATCCAAAATTTACAAATATTTTTACATGAAACTATTCAGAAAGTGGTGGGGATGAAGGTTTCAACAAGCCACCTAAAATTTTTTTAACAAGCCACCTAAAATCATAGTTGTCCCGGGAGGAGGGCCGGAAAATCACCCCAAATTTTGAAAAATCAAGAAAATATGCCAAACTTTATGCTCCAAGCGTATATTCAGCAATAGATCGGTATTTTCAGGTTATTGGAGCATAATAAGCAATTTCAATGAACTTTCAGTGAAAAAAATTCAAAATTTTTTGGTATCCGGGTCTTGAGAAATTTCCCCTCGGCCCGGGATTCGACAAAAACAACTATGCCTAAAAAATCAATTTGAAGGGAGATAGGGCTCCTAAAGTTAAAGAAGCCATTTTTCAAATTTTTTTCATGGGATTTGCGTAATTAAAACTGCGGGAAAAAGGTGAACAATGTATAGATGAAAGTTTATTTTCGAACTTTAGGAGCCCGTATCTTTTGATTTTTGGACACTAATTCATACGGACTTCTCTAGTTTCTGAATCGTGTACTGTAAAAATATAAATAAATTTCGGATTTTTCTTTAATTAGACTATAGAGGTATTGTATGTACACAGTAGCATATCCCTGGTGTTTTCAGAGCTACCAAAACATTTTTCTGTTGAAATCGTCAAAATCTGGCAGTAAACGTCTTCCTTATGAGTCATGTTTTGAACATTTTCAACCTCCAAAATGACGGTTTAGAGCCAATATGGAAATTTAAAAACATTATCTGTTATACAGTGAAAATCCGTTAGTTTTATATTCAGATGTGTCAGATTTCTGACGAGATTACTTGGCTTCTTCAGGAGACTTTGTTCCCTTCATTGCAAAATTTGAAGCCATTGGACAGCATTCTCTTCCCACAGGGAAAAAAGATCGAAACTCACTTTGAGATCATTACACCGCATCGATTGTGACGACGACCAAAAAGTGTTGTTCGAAGTGGTGGTGTAGACGAGCGATGGCTCCGAAGAGTTCGCAATCGTCGTGCTGATCGCCGTCGTCGTCGTCGTTTCCTGACGTGTCCTCCAAATGGGACCAAAGGATCAGAAGAGAAAATCAAGTGAGAGTGTTATTTTGTTGTTGATTTCACTGAAAGAAAAAGAAGAAGTAAATCAAATTTTTGGAGAGTTTTTTCGAGAAAAACAACAAGAAAAAAGTCGAAAACAAGGCACCTAATTTGGTGCATAAATATGAAATTATCAATAGAAAATTGGAGATTTTTGAAGAAAAAAAAAGAAAAAAAAATAAAAAAGTGGAAAAAAACAAGGTACGTTCCCATTTATTTTTTATTTTTCTCAGATAAAAAAGGGAATCTAATTGTTCGTTTTCATGTCATTGTTAATTGAAAAAAAACGGAAAAAATAAAACTACAGAATTGAAAAAAAGATGCAAAAAGAGAGAAGAGCCCAGTGGTCCTTGACTAGAGAAAACAAGTAACATTCTGCGTCTCATTTTAATTTTTTATCTCTCATAGATATCTCTAAATCTCTCTTATTCTTAAACTATTTCCTTTTGGGAGAGAGCGAGCAAAACAAAAATGATAAATGATCCGAAGAGGCTTCTTGGTGGTTCTTTTTGTTTCGGGGTTGAATTTTGCTCTTTTGATTTTTTTTTTATAAAAAAGTTTGCATGGGAAACAGAGGCAAGGAAACAATGGGATGACGAGTGTATAGGTTCTTTTTTTGTAAAAATAAAACAAATATCCAGTGAATCACTGTAAGAAAATATACTGTTCCTTGATGTAAATAAACAAAATAAATTGAATTTTTTAATGAAAAAGTGTATCATTCGGTGTACGGTTGGAACAGCTTGAATCATCAATAATTTGAAACTTGGTATCTTCTAAAATTTAGAAACCAAAAGCAATAAATATTATTCTAGGATTTTGCCACAAAACTTTTCATGACAGCCCACTACGCCTTCCTGTTGGACCACCGAACACCCCCGCGAACGTCTATGCCCTTTCACCCTCCTATGACAAAACGACGCGGTGGCCATGTGGTTAGCGCTTTTGTTTCACGTGCAACAGGGCTCAGGTTCGATCCTAGTTGGGGTCAAACTTTTTTTTTCTTTTATTTTTTTCCAAAAAAGGTGGAATTTCTGGACTTGGAAATGGAAACTTTTGATCTTTTCACTTTGAATTCGTCTGATTCGAACAGGAAATTGAAATGTGGGGAGACATTTTTCAAAGTGTTGCAGAATATAATCTTTCCTGAACTTTTTTTCCAGTAATCCTAGACATAAAAATTGAATTTCCGGTTTTTCGTTGCCATGACTATTAAGATATTTCCACAATTTTTTCGAATAGCCGACTTCAGAAACCACAGCTTGAAAATTGGTTGATTGATTTTTCGAATTTCAAAATCAAAGCCAAAATCAAAATAGCAATTTCATAGCCGCGAACCAAAATTATTAAATTTCGTAATGTAAAAATCAAAAGACCTTCTTCTCTCTCTCCATTAGTAACCAACCATAAAGACTAATCCGGTGTGTGAAAAATGCGGAAATAGAGAGAGAGAAAAAGGGTAAATTTGTGTGGGAAACTACCTGGAAGAAGTAGAAGAAGAAAAGAAGCGGAACTAATGACGAAATGAAGAAAAGTAGGGGAAGAAGCAGGTGTTGTAGACTCTCAAAACGAGTCATAACTTAAGAGAAAAGAAGGGAAAAAGAGAAGAGAAGAAGAGGAAGAAGAGATATTGCTCAGTGACATCTTATCACTCACTGAATGTTCATTTTGATGGGATAAGATGATGATGATAGGGGGAAGAACAGAAAATAGGAGAGCAGGAAGAGAGGTTTGCAGAATAACTGGTACTAGTTTTCTGAGATGTTTTGTTTGGAGTAGGAATTTGAAATTGGGGGTTGGAAACTAGAATTCTTGGGGACCGTTTTTAGATGTTTCGTTCGGGGTTCTGGTCCGAAATGACACCAGAAGCCACAAGCGTTTTCCAATGGCCCCAGCAAATCCAGACTAAGGTCTCCAAAACTGGTAAATCGGGTGTTCAAAAAAATTATAACTTTGAACAAGAAATTTCCAGGGCGAAACTTCAAATTAAAAAAATTTTAGGACGCATTTGAACCCTGGCAGTTCACCAAAAGTGCTACCGGTTAATAGTGTTGTATGCAAATGCGCTTGGGACACAAAAATAGAAACAGTTTTGTGATTTAAGTAGGTCATCAGTCAATAAATGTATCTAATTATTTCTAATATTTTTTTGCAAAAAAACGCTTTGAAAAACTGACGATTTCAAATTTAGACGGAAAAAATCCTCATTATTGTTTTTCAGTAGAGCGCGTTTGCACACTTTACTGACGTTCCCTCCAATGAGCATAAATTTTTGATTGAGACAAAACATTTTTTTTTTGAGAAAATTCAAAATATGAAAAATCCGTTCATAGCTAGCCAAAACTGTGATGAGAAAAAAAACGAAAATCAGAAAAACCTCTAATAAAACTGCCCCTTTCTCTCGGCTCCAAAATACAAAACGTGACGATCAGTAAAAAAAGAAAAAGGTGGCAAAAGTGACCGAAAAGGCTGAAAACAAGAATAATGAGGGGTGGCAGAAAGGCGTCGTGCTCCTCTTCTAATTTCCTATAAGTGAGCCGTTGCACTTTTCTTAATTTCCCATTGGTATTGGCTTAAAAAGAGAAGAAGAAGAAGACAGAGTGATGGGAGGGGAGGGATGACAAAAAAGAAATAGATATGGATGAGATGGGGAAGGGAGCAGCGCGCGCAGAGCTCAACGACGTCATCAACTTGTGCCAAAACGTCTTCTTGGCATGTTCCTCTTCTTCTTTTTTCTGGATTCCGATGCAGAAGAAGAAGAAGAAGAAGTGAGGAGATGCCTCCCGAAGAAGAATTCTTTGGAGACAAAGTGCGTGAGTGTGTGTGCCTGCACCATGTGAGTGTTGGAGACTCGGCGATCGAGAAACGGAGAAGAAGAAGACGTCCGTGGAGCAAGAGATGGAGCAAGAGAAACAGAAGATGAAAGACATGAATTCAGAGAGAGAGAGAAAGAGAGAATGACATCTATAGAATTCTCATTAAGACACCCCTCCCTGACCTCCCTCTCCTTCTCTCTTTCCGTCTCTCTCTTTATGTCAGCAGCTCTCAGAGAGCAGCAAAAGAGAGAGAAAAAGAACACTCTGGGATCGAATTAGAAAAGGAATTTCCAATGGAGAGACCTTGTCTCAAACTAATAGAATCAGTTGAGAGTCTATGAACTTTGAATCTTGGGATGTATTCAGGTGGAAGTGGATGTTTGAGATCTGAAATCAGAAAAGTGGAAATTTCAGATGGAAGTTTGATGTTGGTTTGTGGATTTTGTAAAAGATAGATGAAGTTTGTCACACAGTTTTGTCAAAATGCAAATGATCACTTACGTTGTTAGTCGAGGTTTAGCAAATTTTTGAGCATGTGCCACACAGTCAGAAAATTTTCTAGGGCTCTGAAATTTTTTTTTCCAGTTCCTAACATTTTTGTGCAAGCAACCACTTTCCAGGTAGGTATAGCTTACACTACGAAGCAGCCTACGGAGAACCGGTTTTTTTTTTCGAGATAGTTCTTTTTGACAAGCGTTATCTGCCGGGAAAGTGGGCGCACAGAAAAGTTGCGAACTACAAAAATGAAGTTTTTAGAGCCGTAAAAACTTTTTTATTGTGTGGTGCATGCTCAAACTGAAAAGGTGTGCTTACCTGGTTTCGAACGGTATTGTAGGTAGCTTTTCAGCTAGAAAGATATGAGTATCTACAAAAAAAACCTAATAGTTTTCAAAGTTAACAACGACCCAGAAGATTATTTTCAGCTTAAAAAACTATAAACTACAATAGTACCACGGGAGATTTGCAAGTTTTTCAACTGGAAAAAATCAATGTAGACAAGGAATAACGAACCCTGGACTGTTATTCTACGGTGCCATCTTCTGCATTGGGAGTAAATTTTGCACAAAAGCTTTCAGAAAAATAAGTTTTTTAATAAGTCAAAAGTTCATATGAGCTCTGCTGGGTAAGCCGTAATTTTGATCTAACTAGCGGGTCGGTATAATACAGAATTTACGGTACAACTAAAGATTCTGAACTCAAATTCTATGTAATTCATGGAAGTTTCCTTTTGAATAACCTCAAATCATCCATTCTATCCGGTCAAAAGAAGAACATCTCCTGCTATTGAAAGCTGATATGAGAGATATAAAATAGTCATCAAAAAAGGAAGAAGAGCAACTTGACTGAAGAGTCACTTGAGCAGAACACATTCAAGTGATACTACAACAACTACTACCGAGACAAAAGTGGAAATTGAGTTTTGTTCTCTTTGAGAATTTTTTTCATTTATTTCTAGACTATTCTGTTTGAAAATGAAAGATTCTTACAGAAATCTAATTTTAAACACGATAAATATTCCGAAAAAATGGCTTCTTAATGATCAGAATAACATGTATTGTAGGTTTTCAATGATGCGTTTTCCCTCTTTTTGAGGAGTATTTATTACGAAAACTATAGGGGTTTTTGGTTGAGAAGAAGTGCAATGAAGAAGAGAAAATATGTATTAGCAACCAAGGAAACGATGGATTTCAAATCGAATGAAGCGTTGAATTGTTGCTCTTTGATGATGAGAAAAAGTAAAGAGAGATAAAGAGATTAAATGACGATTTTTTGATATGAATCATGCTCATTTATAATTCTTTTTAATACAAGAGAGATTAGGGAAGAATCATGGTCTTTTTGAAAAAAGTCTCGAAAAAAGGTCACAATTTTTTTAGCACCGGACCTGAAAATTTCAAAAAGCCCGGGTCGAGCAGAGCCGAGCTTCCGAAAATTATTTTTCGAAGAGAAAAGAATTGCTTAAAAATGAAAGTTTCACCTGCGTTGGAATTCTCGAGAAAGCTGATTCCAGGAGGAGTGAAGAAACGGATATTTATAGTATACGAATGGAGGTTTCAAAATTGAAAAAACGCATTTCGGAAGCTTTTATGAGTCATAAAATGTTGGATTGAGTGCTTTTTGAGGGTGGAGCTGGTTTTTGAGAGTTGATTTTTCGAAGTTGGAGGAGAGAAATGTTTGGTTTTTCATGGAATCATTTTTAAAACTTTTGTAAGGTTTAAAAGAAGAGAAGAAAGAGTTTAGAATAATTCGATCTTTCTTTTCTATGAGAAATCACGGTTCCACTTGAGTTGGATAGAATCAAACTGATTCTCAAAATGGACCCGAGAAGGCCACCAAAAAATTGGATGGACCCAAAAACTCAAATGAACTGCAATAGCACCTTGAGAGCACCTTGGAAAATTTCCGTTTCGAAAAGTGTATTTTTTTTCTCAAAACTCGATAAAGTACCAGCTTAGAAAAGATGTAACGGTTCAGAAAAGTAATAAAGACAATTTTTTGAAAAAGAGGAGATCCTCAATATGTAATTCAAAGTGATTAGCATTTTTGGGTCCATTCAATTTTGAGGTACCTTTCTTCAGTCCATTGAATTTTCTCAAGCGTCTATCCTATTTTGAAAATTGGCTTGGATCCATCCAACTCAAGTAGAACCGAAACCACTTCTTATTATTTCATATGAAGGTTCTTCACAATGAAGTAATCCTACAGTAACCCGACAAAATTCAAACAGTACTTCTCCCGGTGGTTTGTACAGCAACTGACAAAATAATTGTATTGTCTGAAAATTCTATAAACCACTCTCTGGTATTCTGACATTGTTCAAAACAATATACACTAAATTTTCAACCGCAGCAAAAAACTGATCGAATTCTTTTCTTCAAGAATGTTACACATTCCTACAAAACTTTGGTGCAGGAAAACTTTTTTTTGCATAGTGAGGAATTCCAGATTTCCAAAAAAGTTTTGGAGCACGAAAATTCTTCAGCTCCTTTTATAAAATCCCTTTTTTTCTACACGTATTCAGAAGACTCTTCTCAAAACTCCCCCGAAAATTCTCAAATATTCTGGTAGACAGGAAAAGTCGTCGAAAAAGCTGAACTGATTTCATTATTTCCCATCTCATCAACTCTTTCTTCATCTCATTAATTATTAAAGCACTCGAATCGGAGAGTCATGT